AAACGTTCTCTGCCTCGCTTCCACCAACGACAAAAAACCGGTAGGAAGGCTTTTCATCTGCGGTTTAAACTCTCGACACCGTTTGTGTACACGCGGAAACTCCCCGTTGATTGCGTGGAGAAGAGAGAGAGAGAGAGAGAGAGAGAAAAGAAGAAGAAGGAATCATCGTCGTAAAAGAATTTAATATCGCAGCCAGGGGTGGGGAGCGGCCAGCAGGCCACCCCCCATAGCTAATCCAGGAGATCGAGTTTAAAGTATGGGCAAAAGAATGAGACGTGTAAACGAGCGGAATTTTTTTCCCCTGTGTATTCTTCGACGATGTTGCGCAAACACGGCAATGTAAACGGGGCTTTAGCCTCCCTCGACGAGCATCAAGCTGCAGGCTGTCTGACGTATCCGAGCGAATGTCCACGAATAACGGGAGGCCAAGATGAGAATTCCAGGCGAATTACACCAAACAAATGGGATTGAGCCAGAACCCTCTCGATTGTCATCTAACGCTGCCAACCTATGGGTTTTTCTCTCGATTGGCGGCGATTTTAAAGAACCGCCCCAACGAGCGATATTTACGCGTCGTCCGGCGGCTGCTCCTACACGATCGGTTATTTATAAAGCCATTCACGATAATCAATAACCTATGCCGTTCTCCACCACCATCCTCCATCCCCCTCCCCCCCTTGCACGGCGAAAATTCACCAACACCTCGGACACACACTTGTGCAAAACCTTCTCTCGAACGAGCACAGAGAGACAAGAGAGGGACGGTGAAACATTTATCGATGGTCGACGACGCGACGGTGAACGCGATACAAAACGGCGCGCGAATTCATCATTCGGACCCGCTGAAAATTTCAGATTCTCCCGTGGAAGAACATCGTGTGACGCGTTTAAACATCCCCCGGGGAAATGTTTATTGAATAACCCCAAGGATATAAACAGGGGAGGGACGGTGATTTAAAGGTGGCTCACTGATTGCGGAGGACGCTTCCCAATGGGAGGGTGAATATTCGCGTTTCGAGGCGATTTAAAGCACGAAATATTGGACGTGTGAAACGATAAATACAGACGTATAAATTGTATTATTTACTCGTGATTTATTTCACGATCGTAGACTCGCCAGGCGTGTGTTTTTTTCTCTCTCTCTCTACCGGAATCTTTTCAAATTTACACGTTATTCACGGTTGTTAAAGTTTAGAGCTACTCCCGTCCGCTTTGATAATCAGACGCGAAATGTTGAATTTTCATACGTAATTTCCGCGCGGCTAACCTCGATCATACAAATTGAAACTAAAATCAGAGTTACAATTAAACTTCATTCCAAATACAATACGTAGTTGTTGCACCACCGCCACAATCCGCGTCACGAATATAACTCGTTATTATAAAGGCAAGGGGTTAAACAGTATTTCTCAGATTTCTACAATACCCTGCTCATTCCCTTCCTTAGCATTTGCATAAGGTTAGCCGGCATGAACCTCAGGTATGGTCGGTGAAAAAAATACTGCCGGCTGGTGAATTAAACAACCGGCGGTGTACAAGTTTCCAAACTTTTCTCCTCAAATTTTTAGCAATCCTCCCTTTTTCCAGACACCGTCGAACAAGTTTATTACCTTAACACTTTCCATCGACAATTATTATCACGTCGTGGTTTTCTCACCCGATTATAACACCTCGAAAGCGTACGAATCGACCAAGCGGTGTAAACAATGCCACTTGATTGAAATTCACGGACGTTCAAAGAAGCAAACGTGAACGACGATGTCTCGAGTTCCATCAAACAGCCAGCCTGCCATAATGGTTTCTCCGCCGATAGGAGGAGAGAGGGACCTTCTTCTGGCTCTGCATGGCGAAATTCAGAGAACGAACGAACGAACCGGCCAGGGAAAGTTTCGCATCGGTTGAAAACTCTACACTTTCTATCTTTCTATTTCTATCCCTTCTCTCTACCCCCCTACACCCATCCACTCTTTCTCTATGTCTCTCTTTCACCCTAACGAAGCAGACGTAGAGACTGAACTTTGTTTCGCCGCGGAGAGTAGAATGCAACCAACCCTCGCGACCGGCCAACCGAAAAGTATCTCCTCTTTCTGTACCATTAATTCGGTCGCGCAGCATAAAGGCCGCGCACGAGTGACATGCAAGAATAGCTACAGGAATCCTCCTAACGAGACAAGACGGGACGAGCATTATTTCCTGTCAGCGAAAAATATTCCAGCCCGTAACAATGAAATATCTATTTTGTGTCGCGCCCGAGATACTCGCGTTCTCTTACACACACTCTCATCCCCCTTGCCAACGCTCTTTCTCTCTCGTAACACCGCTAAAGCGTAACGAAGCGCAAAAGGAACACGAGCAAGATGTTCTCTCCTTTTTCTCATATTTTTTTAACACTTTCTTTTTTCTGTTAAAAGAAGCTGTTTGTTTCTCATTTTATCCGTCGTTGTTCCTCTTACGCCATTTTTCACCTTGTAAAAAACATTTTCTGACGTCAACGTGAGTGAGAATGGACGACAGTGGAATTTGACAGTTCTGGAGAGGAAACTGGTGTACGTAGAATTTGAAGATTTCTCGGTGGAGTATCTGTTCTTTACGAAGAAGAAAATAATAGCTACAGCTGTGGAAACTTATGCATTAGACTACGGAGAATATTGCTGTTCGCTTGATTCGCTTTTTTTTCTCCCCCGTCGTTCCTCCCAACGATAACCCACCCTTTATGTTTCATTTTGACGTAACATTATTCCACGAGGAGGCGAACGTTTACTTTTTATCGCGACGTTACTTTCTCCAGCCATTGCTTTCCATTGCTTCTGGCTTCCACGCGGTCTGTTTACGCCACAGAACAACCGTGTATTTTTTATCACGTCGATACGTCATGAATATGGAATATCGAGTTGAAATGGTGGAGCGGTACCTACTCCCGTCGAATTAAATCGCTAAAGAACTTATTCGATTCGATCGAACAGGGGGGGGAAAAACAGCTTCCGCGATACGTCCAACCGAACTGGTAACTATCTTAACTACCCAACTCTCGATTTTCACTCGACTTTTCCTTAAACCCAACGTACATATTTATAATCTATAAAATGGTCCGTGTAACGAAGTTACCAGACGATCAAACGAGTTAACTAGTACCTTTAAACGATTCGCAGCTAAATACTTCAACATTTTAACGATTTCTCTTTCCACCGTCCGTTTTTCATTAATTTAGTTCGCTTTTTCCGCGGAGTAGCGAAAAAGCGTTGAAACACAGGCCACTGCAAACACAGCCTGGCTACTTCAACCACTGCGAACCAACTTTCATCGATCTCGAGACAAATATTTCAATGATCATGACTAACGTGTATACGCGCGTGTTTTTATATGTTTAGTTGGTCGTTAATTAACGATGGTCCCTTTTAAAAAAGAAACAGGTGATGTAGGTACACACGTGTGTGTGTGTGTGTGTGTGAAAGAAAAAAACAAAAAAACAAGGGAGATACTAGGAAGGAAACGAGGTAAACCGTCTCTCGCACAAGCGACACCTTCGTCAAAAGCATCCGCTTCTGAATCCGGTTGGAAATCTGCCATACAATTCTTTCGCGCTTCTTTGATCTTCGACATACACACACGTACACACGCGTGAAATATATATATATGTATATATATGTAGAGAGAGGGAGAGAGTGGTTACAGAGCATACGGTTTTAATCATTTCACACATTTGTCCGGCGTACGTACACAAAACGCCCCTAACGAGACGAGGGTAAGCAGAGACCGCAAACTGCCCAAGGATCCACTTCATACTCTCCACCAGAAGTATCTCACCCCCTTTGATGACATCGTGAAAGCCCTCCAGAGACAAATAACACTTCCGACCAAAATGTACCGTATATACGTGAACCCCCGAAATCTCTTTCTCTATCTTACACACGCGTCCTCTCTACAAGCATCTCTCCTCCCTCTCTATATACATATTCTCGCGATGCATTAAGAAATCACGTTTCCAGGTCTCGATGGATTTTTTTCCTCTCTTCTTTTTGTTCCTCTTCCTTATGAATGTACGATCGAAAACGCGAGATCGATGAGAGAGAGAGAGAGAGAGAGAACACGGTGGAATTACATTACGATCGTCGAACGTTGAGCAAGAAGAGCGCTCCCACAAAAGGACGCTTTTCTTCGTGAAAAAAAAGAGGACACCGACTGGAGACGCATCTCACTCCTACGATAATAATTTCCTCCCTCGAGTTTCCGTTCCTCCTTCTCTTTCTTTTTTTATAATTAATCGATAGCCGGTCGATGATTGCGCGTAACCCCGTAACACAAGTTCCACGGAATTACCAGTCCGGGGATGCTTGTAATCGCTTTTAAATCAAAACTTCCTCCCAAGAAACATACCTTCCCCGCATATACCGGATCACCCTATGATCAACACGTGAATTAGTCCGCTAGCCAGTCGAACGGATAGAGATGATATACGGAGCGAAGTAAAGAATCTTCCTGATCGAACAATTTCAACCTAATGTATATCGCGTGTCTTATCACAAGAAGACCACCAAAACCGCACAGGAATAATCATAACAGAAAGTGCAACGAATTCCATCGCACTACTGACCACGATGACCAAGCAGTTCCAAAAAAAAAGAAAAAGAAAAAAAAAACAAAACCGAAGCACACAAATCAGACTCGGAGTGATCGAGAAGCAACGTTGTCCACGCGAAACAGATTCATCTCACTCCCATGGGACGCGATCTATCTTACGCCGAACCGTGATGTGTTTCTTTTTTCTTTTTCTTTTCTTTTCGCTCGACGGAACACAAAACGTGTGCACGCTGTGACAATAAGAGCCGACAACACCGTGATATACTATTTACCGTAACCGGGCGGAAACGTTGCGACAAGGAAATTGGAACCGAACATCACGGTAATGATAATGATATCTCGCGTACCTGTGATCGGTTGATCGGTGGTGCAGGGCGCGGCGGCATGGTCCCGTCGCAACACAGCGCCGTTCGACGAGCACTGAGCAGCTATTCTGCGCCAACGGGGTTGCGTCGACGTCGAAAAGACGTGAACGGTCGCCTCTCGCCCCCCTCAAGCCTCTCCTCCCCACCTCGCCGTACTACCGACGCCACTCTTCAGGGTACACTCACACGTATCACCCTCGCGCGCACCTTCCTCTCGTTGTCTCCGGACTCTCTGTGTTACGTCCTCGAGGCAACCACCCCCGTGGCACATGCGCGGATTCCCCCCTGTTCAACAAAACTCACCTCGTAGTGCTGCCAGAATTGGGAAAAATGGGCCGAGGGAAAAGGAAAAGACCACAGGGGATATAGAGGGGAGAAGATCCGAAGGGCGGTGTTTTCTGTAAAACGTATGTTCTCCTTTTCTAACCATCTCCCTCCCACTGACCAACTTATCTCTGTCGCCTCTCCTCGTCTCTGTGTCTTCCCTCCTTCTTCGCACATCCACCCTACCACCTGTATCCCCTTCTATTTCCTCCCTTCTCTTTAACCCTTTCTATCTCTCCTCTCAACCTCTTCGTACTTCGTCTTCTATAACACTTTTCTTATTACGACTATTCCCCGCGTTTCGTCTAATTTCGTCAGCCCCCCACCGCTCCAGGATGTTTTCTGCCTGTTAGCCGTGTCACGCTCCCGTCGAAGTACATTTCTCTAAAACGCGTGGTTAAATCCCGCCCGCCCCCAACCCACCCTCTCTAAGTTTAATTCAATGAATCTTCTGTTTGCTTGCGTTTCTGGCTCCGGCAGGGATTTCCGGTGGCTTTTGTTGCTTGTCGGGGGGTCGTGGAGACCAGAATACGCGACGATTCGCTGCAGTTTTGCTGCTTCTGTTTTTCCCGCTTATACCTCCTCCTACCGCCTCCGCTTCCTACCATTTTTCCGCTCCTTCCTTCTACTCCCTTCATAACCGCTTCCATCGGAGTTACACAACGGTCGCCGGTTATGCACGCACGCTCCCGCTTATGAAATGTAACTTTTAGCATGGCTTTTCGGCGCACTTGGATAATAACCCTAAATAGCCGGATGGTTTTCCTTGGGAATGGGATTCTCCTTGGGTTTTTATCCCCGGGAGAAAATGTTTTTAGCGTTTCCGTTGCTCTCGTCGAGCCACCCCGCCGATATTACGACGGAAAGACGCGGAGGAAACGCATTCGACGGAACAACGAAGGGGTACGCATTCTTAATTTACTCTCGCGCGCTTTGCGAAGGATAAAAATACCGTCGCTGTTCATTTTTTTATACGGAAAGTAATCCTACGATAAGAATGGATTACAGGCGATTAAAAACGGCGACAACGAAAGTGTCCGGAAGATGAATCGTTCGGCTTTATTTGTCAGATAAGAAAAAACGAAGACCTGTTGTTTTATTTCGATTTTTGATCGAAGTGTTCGTCGGTTCAACGACGAGTTAACTCGTCTTTCTCGTTCAATACGAGGATTTCCGGCATTTCGCTGTTGCAAGAGAACATTCGTCCAGGTGATAAATATTACGTTGTATTACGGTGGTTGTTTGAATTAAAGGAGCAGCGATGCGTTGAATAGAGCGCGGAACCAGCAAAAATACTGGGAGTAGAAAATGAAAAGGCTTCACTCGAGGCGGTCCGGCTAGCCAAGCGTGCTTTTTTATCCTGTAATCATTCGCCGTGTTCTTTGTGCCACTGAAATTTTGCCTAAACGAATGCCGCTCTTCTCTGCGATATCCTCGTGCCAGGTCGAGATACGAAACAATACGATTGAGATAGGATTTACCATGAACTTTTCTTTTCTACCTTTTGTCCGGTGAGGAACGTTCGACGAGGCTCGCGCGAACTTTCGCCACCAAATCCCGGAGAATATTCGGAATCGGAGAAAGGAGGAACGCATCGCGAGCCGCTATTTTTTAGACGAACGAACGTTTGCCTGATTTTAAGTGAATTCAGCTCCACGAACGACGAAGAGAACAACGAACGAGCTGGGGTAACTTTAAATAGCTTTCAAAACTCTCTCCGTGCCACTGCAACAGGAATTATTCTGTTTTAAATGGTGAACAAAAGGGTCTCTTGGCGCACCTTCGTTTCGTATTTTCCTTTCTTCTTCTTCTGCTGCTTTTTTCTTTTCGTTCTTCTTCTTTCTTCTCCTCCGGTTTTCTCTTTCTCTCATTTTTTTTCTTCACCCGGTTCGCCGTTCATTCTCGGATTTTCTCGGGATTTTTTTTTTCGTACCGTTGAATCAAATGGAATCGTTCGATAGGGCACATCTAGAGAATATAGACTTGTTACGACCGTTCGTCGGAACAATAGACGAAGAACCCCGCGCTCCCGTTTCGTGTTTTACCACACCGATCCGCGACATTCTTCCCCCATCGCGTTCTCGCGTTTCTATAAACCGTGTAATCGAACAAGACGCTCGATGCGACGCGACGCTCGTTTCTGGCCGACGAGTATTTTTGTCGAACGAATGCTCGCTTCCTTTCCGCGCGAGCTTTTTTTCCCACAACGAGCAACGATCCATGATTCCTCCTCGTAGTACCTTTCATACGCTTTCACGTGCTTGTCAAACCCAACTTTCCATGTAATATTTCTGACACGATGAGAAATCAAAGAGAGCCGGGGGAATAAATGTCCCTTCCTACCGTGTGATTTTCTTCAAAATGTCAACCTGTTTCCAATATTCATATATCATATATCTTGATCCTTCCGGTGGAGGGGGACGGGTGAAAAGAAATATTACCAGGGACGACTTTTCCACGGGCAAACACCATAAGATCGTTCGTGTCGAATCGCTTTTCCATCGATAACGAATATCCTCGTACAGGCGTGAAACCACGTTTAAACGATCCTGGACGACGTTAATGATTTTTATCGACAATTACGCCCGGCGGCAGCACGCGCGCCCGATTGTTTACGGAAATAGTTAATGCCCGGCAATTTGTCGTCGATCGGCTGATTAAATTCGTTTTTCATCCCTTGCTACCAGCTAGAAATTACCCAAAGGGCCGCCAAGTGCTGATAAATCTCGTATAACCGGTCACGAAATGCACGCGCAATCAATCGGGTCTAATCGCAGTCCACAATGACGAATAAGTAGTCCACTAGGAACAATAGATTTGACAGTGTGAATGATAAACAGCGCGTATCGTTGCTACGAATCGGACGATATTGTGCGCCAACATGATTTACAGCCGACGACGATTCTTACGATCGAAACGGGGGAGAACATAATCGAACGATCGTTCTCGTATTTAATTGCAGGATTGATTAAGAAGACGTTTCGTTACACGGACAGAATTATCGAATTTAATTTGGCTAAATATAAACGAAAGATAAAAAAAGAATTGACTTAAATCAAATATTCCACGGAATCTATTCGTAATTTACGTTTACGAATTTCTTTCGATGGTATTTCAACGCAAATTTCAACGCAATTTATCCTATTTTTCGTCATTTTTATCGTCGTATAATTACCATCAAAAAAAGAACGCGTCACCGTAAATATCTCACATTGTTACACGATACAAACGAGAAAACGTTCGTTCTCATTTTTCCCGTACGTTATAGCGAAATTGAATCCCGCGAGTATCAGCTACGGATTAAATCGTCTAAATCGTCACGGGATGGCGGCGAACGTGCAAATTGCCCATAGAGCGTAACGAAGTTAGCGTTTTTCCATTATAACGACCGGCAATATTATTTCAATCGAGTTTAACGTCTCGTAGAGAGAAAGTAGCGCGGACGATGAATATTCAATATGTCGACGCTTCGATTACACGCTGTATTAATATTGAAAGCGACATGGCCCGTTCCGCCGAGCAGAACGTCGAACGAATTTTAAAAAGCTTAGAATACAAGATTGCTGGTAGTGGAACAGTTTCAAATGACGCGGAAAATGTATTCACCGAGCGTCGAAGCGTGCACACACACACGCGATCTCTCCCGATCGGAAGTTGTCGGGAACCGCGGAAGACACGCGAATGTTAAGGGACGGTATGTGTATTCCGTGGCGGAGGTATCACGCACTCACATTTCTCGTCTTCTCCCAATCCTCTTTCTCCGCTTCATCGCCATTTAAGGACAAGCTTTACACGAAGGGATTCCTCCGGCTGGCGACGTGTAACGTTATTCCTCGCTCGTGTCTTCGTCGCGCGGAGAAACTTATTTCGCACGCGGCAATCTTCCGTGTTCCGCTGCGGAACGTTGATTCGCCCGCGAATATCGATGCACACACTCATCCTATCCTATTCCCTCGAATCGCTGCAAATCTCCAAACGAACGGGAGAAAAAGAGTGATAAAAATGTAAGAAGAAGAAAGGGAAGACATGAAAATTGCAGGAAACGTGGCGAAAAGTTTCACAGAAGGAATGAAGAATTCATCGAGCATCCTCTCCGTGACGCTTTGTCTTCCGCGTTCTGTTTTGGAAATTGAAAAAAAATTCAGGTTTCGATCCTTCCAAGGGAGAACGACGGCGGGAGAGAAAAAGTAAAAATAAGAGGAAGGAATTGTTACGGAGAGGGTTGAAATGAATTTCGATTCGAGGTGAAATTTATTCTAGGTTCGTAAGAACGACAGAGTTCGGAGGATCAAGTATTTTCGTTTCGTAGCACCGCGTTCAACATTGTCCCAATGGTGATCACATTGGATTACGAGCAGCTAGAAATTCAGCAAATACGATTGCCTTCTACCTAACGCTGCTGCAGCTGTTTGCACGAATTTTAATTACGTCCCGAACGAAACGACTGGAATACACATCTTCGTATAACCAACGATGGTGTATTTTATGATCTCCGATATACATATATAGCCGTCCCTTCGTGACTGGCGTTTCATATATGATTTTCATAATTACGCTGTACAGCGTATATCCTTTTCCCTGTTTCTCCCTCGACGAAACACACTATCGACTGACGGTTCTCCTCCCACCTTCGGCAACGTTCAATACGAACCTGGATAACGTTTAACTTAATAACAAACCGATTAATTAAAAAAATTACCGTTGTTCGTTTGTTAATTAAATTTCACGTCGCGGAATATCGTATCACGGCTAATTTTACTCTCACCCCTACGAACAGAGAGAAACACGTGGAACGTGCGGAGAAGAATGCGCGAACAAATTTCACGTCTACGAAGACAAAGAGAATCGAGGTACACGATATACACCTCTCGTTCGCATTTTAGCATGGCTGTTTCTCCCGAGAACAGCCGGTCTCACGTTTCATCCTCTATCTGATGATATTGTGGAAAGGTACTTGAAAAATATCTCCTTATCGAGCGCGTTTCGTCTCTTCGTAGCATGTCCGCGAAGACGTACGATCGAAGGTGCGTGTCTCTTGAAACCACGACCACGATATTTCCAACCACGATGACGGAACTGCGTCGTCTTTTACGGAACAGGAAAGAAAAAAGAAATTGCTAATCCCCTTGGAGGAACTACTATCCCTCTGTCACGCTGACGACGTATCCCTCGTCCAGAGCCGTGTTCCTTTATCAATAGCCACGGGGCAGATAGCAGTTTGGGAAAAGAAATGTTGAAATCGGTCTCCTCCTCGTTTACAAGCAATTATTGCCACGTATGTATAGTACACGTACGAGCTCGTGTCACGCTCGTTTGCAGCTCTCCGGGAATGTATTATCGTTTCACGAATCTATCACACGCACACGACGATACACAGCGAAAAAGAATGAGTCAAACGTACGAACAGATAGCAATTCTGTTTGCTCGATTCCCGGGTCAAAGTTCGCTAACTCGTCGCTTGTTACCATATGCATCTACGCTACGCAAATTCCTATGCACAAAAGGGCGTACTAATAATCGAGACGCGGACTTTGCGTGGCCTTGACAAGACGTGATCCTAAGTTCGAACATCCGCGTGAAACGTCAACTTCCATTACAGACACAGACAGAGAGAGGGAAATAGATCTTCTATACCTCTCCCACCCCAGGGTAAACGCGTCAGAATTTATTCGACGATAGGTCTCTAATCTTTTGCCTCGAGATAACGACGTCGACGTTTTCTGCTGCGATTCCGTCAAGCAACGAGTAGCAGTGTGTCGTTGACCACCGTGGCGACCGCTCCACCTCGCTACCGAGGTCCACGTCTAAATCTAATCCTCTGCTCGACTTCCTTTTTCTTTCTCTCTCCTTCTCTTCCTTTCTCTCTTTATTCCCTTATCCTCCTGTCCAAGGAACCAGAGATACCCAATAGTGAAATTCAATAAGGAACTTCTCACGAGATTTCCACTTTTCTCCATTTGTCAGATTTTCCATCGTTAAGCACTCTTCTCTCTCTCTCTCTCCTTTTCTATCGATAATTAATTAAATTTCCATTTTTCTCTCTCTTTCCTTCTTGTATTGTACTTCTCGTAAGCTCTTCCAGCCAACGAATCGTTTCGTCCGTTGTTTGAGAAACGAACGTAAGAGTGTGATTCTGCCGCGGAGTTGGTTCGATTAGAAGTAAACGAAAAAGAAAAGAATCGTAATTGTGTCGCGGCGACGACGACGGTGAGATTTGAAAGAAGAAGAGAGGAAAAGTTGAAGAGGCAAACATGTACGCGAGGCTGTTACTATTGAGATCCACTAAACTTGGATGTTTTCCAAGGAGATTGGCTTCGTTCTCTTCGGGGCCGAGGATTCCCGAGCAAGCAGTACGTGCAACTTTTCTTATTTCTACGCCTTTCATTGCACCACGACGGAGGCTATAGACGGCGGATTCGATCGATCCGCAACGGGATCACGCGATGATTGGCCCAACGGATCTGTACCGCCGATTCAATTTTTAACGCGTCTGTGTTTTTAATCGAACGTTTGCCACTCGACGAACCCTTTCGTACACGTCTGTTCGGTGTGTTTAACAACACGATCAATTTGATCTGACGTGTGTGCGTGTTGTGTTTGTAGAAAGCGTTTTTCAATGTTGTCGAAAATAATTCCAATCGTTCTTCGTTATCTACGAAAAGAAGAGAAAAAGCATCGATCGAATTGTTGGAAATTATTCCGATTCTGTCTTCTTCAAATGCGCTACTTTTTTCCTCGTACAATAACGTTCACACGATCTCAACCAGTAGAGAAACTTTCCACCGCGTTATGTCACACCGAATCGCGGGATTTTCGCGACGACGAGATAATACCGAAAATTATTTACCGTGTAATAAATTCCGAATATTCGCCGATAAATAACGCGCATAGACGTGCCGTAATTCCGCGCGTGTATATCAGCGGCCGCCATGGTAGCGTTTCGATAATTTTCTAACAACAAACAGCCCGCGACGGTTTTAAATGCAAAATGCATCGTTCGATTTTGAAAGATCGTTCGTTTAATTGGCTACACTGACAATAAATGTAACACGCGGCGTTATCGTGAATACATAATACGGCTGATATCGCCGTGTTATATACACGTCCAATTATAAATATCGTTTCACTTTTTTTTCCCACTCGTTATTCTCATTCGTCGTTTCTCTCCTGTTCTTCCGTGCTTGCGACAATATCTTCGAGCTTGATCGTGGAATATTTTCGTGTTTTCAAATACACACCGTTGAAAATTCCACGCGAGCACCATGTGATCGATCATCATCGACTGATTGACGAATCGAGGGGGCATTCGTTAATTACCCATTTTCCCTTATCGCGGTTCTGCTGTGCGTCATTATTTCGCCGTCGAAATAAACCAAAGTAAAAAAAAAAGAAACAAATCCAAAAGACGAGTCTCGTCGAGATAGATGCTTCGACGTATCGAACGTGCCTCTTCTTCTTTTTTTCTGTCCTGTTTCTTTTTTTCTTTTCGCGACCAAACGCTGCACCGCTCCTTTTTCTCCTCTGCGACAAGCACCGATAAGAATCTCCTTTTATCAATTGTCACTGAATTACGCGATCTACCCAGGTGATACGACACCGGTGTGGTAACGAGAAACGATCGTCGATGATTTGCCTGGCGTGTTTCTATTTTTTCTCTCTCTCTCTTCTGCATCTCGAGTGACGACGAGACGGGCACTGGGTCGATTCCCTCGCCGCACAGTCGAAGAGAATCGATATTTCCAACGGTCCGCTAAAATCAACAGGTCGAGGCGGATGATGGCTCGTCGGAATCCTGTGGCATATTCAGATTCCATCCAGCAAAATCCCCGATCGAGGAACGCAATATAATTCCATTCGATCGACGACGAGTCGAGCCCCTATACAGACTTTCCCATTCGACGTTAGAATTAGAAATTGATCGGAGGACGCCCTATTTCAACCTTCACACACGATTATCTCCTGAACTATTCCCTATTCGAAGGAATATCTTACCTTGTTTCGAGAGGAGTTTCTTGAAATGAACGCAATTTTCTTCGGGGTGAAGACACCTCAGAAATTTAAAGGTAACCTCTACTCTTTTAAATGGAACTACGTTTCTTTTTAAGCTAGGCGTATAGTCTATTTAGAAACGAATTCAACGACCTACGACATTTTGGTCTCTCAAGGTCGTTCGAAATTTACATTCGACAGGGAATAGCCTTGAGTGATCTTGAAAGACCAACGTGTCATAGGTCAACGGACTCGTCCTGGAGTGGACTATAAGTACAGTTAAAAAGAATATATGGTTCCATTGGAAAAACCGAAGGTTACCTCGAAATCTCGGATGTACCTCCATCTAGAAGAAAATTATGCACGTCAGAAGATGTCCTCCTCGAAATAGGGTAACTTAATTCGCAAGATTCTTTTCCACCAACGAATAGTTCGGATGATAATCACGTGTAAATATTAAAATAGGACAGGCTGTGTACGACGGAGACAAGTGAACTGCGTCTTGGGAAGCGAGATAAGAAAAGGCACCAACGGTGATATGATTTATAACGCGCAATCCTTAATCTTCTGCTTGCGAAATCGGCGGAATCTGTGTCGAATTGGAGATCCGGAATCGACGGAGAGTGTCATTGGGAGATGATTATTCGCGAGATCTCACACTGTGTGTGATTGTCGGAGCGGAGGCAGAAGGAAGGCTCGAAACGAGCGGTTTCTCGGTGGACGCGCGACGGGGAAAAACACAGGCGGAGGAATGCAACGAAACGTGGCAAATTGCTGTCGCTGGCGGACCGATTGTTTTGATTTCGAATGAATATTCATCCGACGACGCAATTCCGTCAACAGAGATTAATGAAAACGGCGTTAAGCCAGAAACGATGGTACACAAACACCTATGCTACCTTTTCCAATCCTTCCCCGCGGCGCCGCGTTCGATTCTCATCTTGTTTTCGCAAATTTTTCGCTTCATCTCCGGGTACACACATCGCCCTAATCTCTTCCTGTTACGTTCGCGACGCAAACACACGCGCACACATCTGTGTAATTGGATTTTTAAGCAACAGATTAGGTAAGAGCACGAAGGTGTTCTCCTCCACGTGTAACCGTGAAACTGTGTCGAGTGGCAATCGAATTGAAATTGGCAGCCGGGAATTTTTCTACGTTCCATGTATATACGTATCGGAGTGTTGCACACTTGGTCAGATAACGAACTTGAACGACCATAGATACGTATGATCGTAGATTATGCGGACAGTTCGAAGAAGCGTAGCCGGGAGATCGTTAAGTAATCAGGACAGATTTATAGCCTCGAGTTGCAGATAAAAAAAATAACCGGCGAATAAAATTCCATTGACGTAGTTACGAATGAAATAAACTAGACCGGTTAATAGAAAAGTGATGTGTCGAAGCGAAGATATTCGACCGGTCGCAACACAGAGACGAGGGAAGAGAAAATGTATAGAAATCGTTCGAGACTTTTCATTTACAAATGGAGAGATCTCTGCTTTAAATTTGAACGGTGTCTGTCCTTGATGAACGACGTCTTGCGATGCACCCATTGTTTCAAACAACGATACGCAAAAAACGAAGCAAAATGTGACTCATGTGGCACGAAATCCTATTTAACCGAGTAATCAAATGAAACGATGAATCTTAGGACATCAAAAATCGAACAATTTCCCTAACGCGATGTATTTGACAATTTTACGCAAGCCTCGTTTCTAGATCCGAGTTTAATTAACGAATCTGTCCAAAGGGGAAACGTGTAGACTCGCGGAGAGAGCTACAGACGATGGATGGTCCTCGAAAGGCGGCGATATTCAACGAAAGAAGTCAATTGACGTACACAAGACGTTTGGTGGTGAAATTAGGCAGCGCCGTTATTACCAGAGAGGACGAACATGGATTGGCGCTCGGTCGTTTGGCGTCCATCGTCGAACAGGTAGCCGAGTGCCAAAACGGAGGTCGTGAATGTATTATGGTAACTAGCGGGGCGGTCGCGTTCGGCAAACAGAAGCTAGCTCAGGAACTGTTGATGTCCTTATCGATGAGAGAGACTCTCAGTCCTGGCGGTCACATGAGGAAACGCTCAGGTATGATTTTACGCGCGTACGTCGATAGTTTTCATTCATAAGTTGTAACAAGTGTCGAGTTTTATCGATAAACACAGACGTTTCATGTCTCGAATAGAGTCAATTATAGATAGCATTTCGTAGAATCAAGGACGTCGATCTTTTAAAATTTAAATGATTTTCTTCGTCACATATGCGTGACACGCCAATTCTCTACGTGTACGGTGTTATCTGCATCTAATACGTAATAAAAAATATGCACAGCTCGAGTATACAATAAACATTACGTGTGTACAAGTTCAGACATCCATCTCATTATATAAAACTGATAAAAATATAGATATCAACACGTTCACTATCTTTCCAATTATTTTGACTTACATTCTTAATATCTATGATAAATTTACGTAATACACTTCTGCATGCCTAATATTTATTAAATACTCAAAGTGTGCATTTTTTTATGATGTATTAGATAATACCGAATTGGTGCGTCACGCGTATGCGACGCTGGTAGCGAACGTGTTGAGAATGTAAACGAAAATAATTCGAAGGATAAGAGACGTTACTTGAAAAGTGTTAAACAATAGTAAATTTTCCAATCGATTCCGGTGCAACGTCGAAACTGAGAAACTTTATAGATAGAAAATTCCGGATAACGCTAATCGAATATCATTTCATCCGAAGCACATTTTCTTCCGGGGATATTTTTATACAATTTCTAACGAGTTCGAAGGATCGCGAGAAATTTGCTCTCCAAGTCGGCCGCAGAATTCATCCTACGCACCATTAATTAATCATAATTACACGTGAGTTCGCGGGTGGTCACGCGAAACGCGAGAAGAATAATGCGCCCAGGCTGGTGGTTTTAACCGTCCGCGGTGAATCGATCGACCGAATAATTCCGACGAGTTATGACGATTAAATTGCCCGAATATAAATTCCCTCCTCCCAAGTGAAAACGTGCAATCTGTTCTTGTAATTACGGGACGCTTTTTTTCCCCTCTCGCTCAATCCTCCTTCCGAACGAGTGGACTTGCGCCAATTTATCCGGAAGAATTCACACGCCCGCGCGGACCTACACACGGCAACTATAAAGTACAATATCGAAACAGAAGAAGCGAGCCGAAGGAAAATTCGAGAAGCATTTAGAGCGTATCGTGCGGTTATTATACGAAAGAATTTCACGAATAAAGGGGATACGTTAAATAAATTACATTCCCCTGCCGCTGTAAACGATCTTATTTTCTCCAACCGGAGAACGCAACGACGACCCTTTTTCGGCGTGAGTACACGTTAACAGGAAACATTCCGCTCGTTATTTGCTTATATTAACGGGGTAGAACGATATACAACATGTGTATGTATTTATGTACTTACGTATAAAGCAAAGGATGTTGCCTTTTCCACGGGGGCAAACGTGAAGCAGGATCGATACCGAGGCTCGTAAATTTCGTAACTCGGGTACTAACAATCAGGATGGCAGGCATGGACGCGACGAAATGTCCCCCGGGTACTTCCGGTTATCCAGGGACTTGGCGACAATGTCCGGTTCCCTCCCATCTAGGTTAAACTAACAACCTGCAAGCCGCCCAATTCTTTTACCGGGCAATTCCTTCGAGATTCTATTTACCTCGGGGAAACATTCGGCAAAATTCACCTTTTAACGCCGGGGCGAACCCATCGAACGTGATAGATAAAAATTGGTGGTAAAATCGACGGGCGATCTTTGTTTCTTCGTATTTTCCCTGGAATCGTTTAGAGCTTGAGATATCGATTGGTGGTCGGTCGTTTCTGTTATTCCGGCTTTCGTAACACGCCTCGGCGGTAAAAGGAACGTTCAGTCGAAAATCGTAAAGCATAATGGATCCTCAGGATGTTGCATATTTCATCTGGTTGCTTAATTAATGGCTCTTCTTTAATTACTCGAACCATACGGAATGTATAATTCCTGTACTAATGAGTAATGGTAGTTGGGCCAAAATCAACTAACCGCTTGATCTCATTAACCCCCATGGCTTGTAATATCGAACCACTCTCACGGGTAGAGATTATAGTCGAATTATGGTAAGTTTTATTGGCAGTAAGCTTCGATTCAAAATGTAACTGCACTTGTGAGATTTATCAGATTACAAAGTAAATGAAATTATCGATTGGTAAATTGTTAACTCCGCGATGAACGAGTTAATTCTCTATTAATACGAAGCATCTCGAAATCCTTCGATTAATTTTAAACGATCCAGATGAAGTAACTCCGACGTTTCCGTTCGTTTCTCCCTAAAAAATCAACGAACAAACAACAGTTAACAAATATCATCCGAAAAAAAGGTTAAAAGCCATTGAAAACTATTCATCCCGCGTATCGTACAATCTCCTCTCGTTTCACATATCGGGAGCTCGCGAAAAAAAAAAGAAACAAAGAAGAAAGATCGTTGTGAATTTAACCACCATCGATACACGAGGGATAAGCGGTCAACTGATTTTGGACAGACTCCAGAAGGTCTTAAGGGTACAAACGAAAGCCATTCGGCCGACAACAATCACTCGTTGTACTACACGCGATCTGCTGACCGTACATCCACCATCCCCACGGTACATTGGCGAACGGTAGTACGATAATTTCGATCTGATGTTCAAGCAGGCACTCCTTTGGAGCCTAGAGCCGCAGCTGCGGTTGGCCAGTCCGGTCTGATGTCTCTCTACGACGCGATGTTCGCTCAATACGGCGTGAAACTGGCCCAAGTGTTGGTCACCAAGCCGGATTTCTACAACGAGGAGACGCGTAAAAATCTCTTCAGCACCCTGAGCGAACTGCTCAGCTTGAACATCGTTCCCATAATCAATACGAACGACGCTGTGTCACCGCCGCCGCACGTAGACGAGGAAGTGGCTGGTAGCGGCGGAAGAAGAGGGATCTCGATCAAGGATAACGATTCTCTAGCCGCGATGTTAGCAGCGGAGATTCAAGCAGATCTGCTGATCCTGATGAGCGACGTAGACGGGATCTACAATCTGCCACCGTGGCAAGACGGTGCAAAGATGTTGCACACGTTCAGTTCAGACCTTAGGGATACCATCAAGTTCGGGCAAAAGTCGAAAGTCGGGACCGGTGGCATGGACTCGAAGGTAAACGCGGCACTATGGGCTCTGGATCGTGGTGTCTCTGTGGTGATCTGTAACGGAACCCAGGAGAAGGCTGTTAAAAGCATTTTGTCCGGAAGAAAGATCGGCACATTCTTCACGCAAACCACCGAATCCACCACGCCTGTGGAGGTTGTCGCCGAGGATGGTAATACGCCTCTATTTTTCTCCTTTATGAATCACTTAACGTCTGCTCTCGAATGTTTTACGACGGGTAACACGAACGAAAGTTATTGGAATCTTGAAATTCGTCCGGACGGTTTCATTTCCTATTTATGAGATGGTGTTATTTGTTTCGGGTCCAGAGGGAAATACAGAGTAGACGAAGTTATTTTCACGTGGAGATTATTTTATTAATGCGCGATAGTTTTTTCGCCGTGGGATAGGTCAGTGGCGTGATTTTGTTCTACCGACCATAGCAATATAGGTCATCGATTATCGAAGATAGAAATGAAACGGCTTACGGTCGCTGTATCGTGGCTATTGTACAATTATCCGTGACACGTATCGGCACTCCTCCTTTCCCCTTTTGAAATATATAGAAAAATGTCGTATTATTCGGGTGGTATATTTAATTCAACATTCGAGAGAACCCGGGCTGGCGAGAGGAGCTGGCCATTGAAGAAGTAAGTGAAAAGAAAAGTAGTTGGATATTTTCTTAACTCGAGAGAGGGCTTCTCCCGAACGAAGGTATCCTCTATTCTCGACTTCGGGTAATTTTTATCGGCGTCGGATTCCATTAAAACTTATTTAATATATTCTTCCCAATCGTTCGACCGTGTATATATATATATATGTTCAAACGTAACTTCTTCTTCTTCTCGATACACTAACCTCCGCTATTAACCCGTAAAACAACTAATTACCGATGGTTCAACAAAAGAAAGGAAAATCAACAATCTCGAACAATTTCCAGCTCGAATCTCCAGCCGAATTCTCCAAGCACTTAAACCAGAGGAACGTGCAAGCTGCATCAACACGTTGGCGGACCTCCTCGAGTCCCGCCAGAAGGAAATCCTACGCGCCAACATGAAGGATCTCGAGGAGGCTGAAAAGAGTGGCTTGGCAGCGGCTCTCCTCTCTCGTCTTTCTCTCACACCGGCCAAACTCAAATCTCTAAGCTCCGGTCTCCGTCAGATCGCGAATGACTCGTTGACGAACGTGGGTCGCGTGCTTAGAAGGACGAAACTGGCGGACGGTTTGGAACTGAAACAAATCACCGTCCCTATCGGTGTTTTATTGGTGATCTTCGAGTCTAGACCGGACAGTCTGCCTCAGGTGGCCGCGTTGGCGATGTCCAGCGCCAATGGTCTCCTCCTGAAAGGTGGCAAAGAGGCCGCCCACAGTAACAGATACTTGATGCAACTGGTGAAAGAAGCGTTGGACACCGTAGGAGCTGCGAACGCGATCTCCCTCATCTCGACCAGAGAGGACGTCGGTGATTTGCTGTCTATGGGCAAACACATAGACCTGGTGATTCCTCGTGGTAGTTCCGACTTGGTTCGAAATATCCAAGAACAGTCGAAGCACATCCCAGTGCTGGGACACGCGGAAGGTATCTGTCACGTGTACGTCGACAAGGACGCTGACTTGAGCAAGGCGCTGAAGATCGTGAGGGACTCGAAATGCGATTATCCGGCCGCCTGCAACGCTATGGAGACTCTGCTTATTCATGAGAATCACATGAGAGGGAGCTTCTTCACCGACGTCTGCAATATGTTGCAGAAGGAAGGAGTAAGTGGATTAAAATGGCTGGATAGATGAGAGGTGGGACGAGTGTTTCACGATCGTTGAATCTTTTACGAATTCGAAACTTTAGGTGAAAGTTAATTCCGGCCCGAAACTGAGGAAGCTGCTGACGTTCGGCCCACCAGCGGCGAAGAGTATGAAAACCGAGTACGGAGCACTCGAGTGCTCGATCGAAGTCGTGTCAGACGTCGACGATGCGATCAGTCATATTCACAAGTACGGCAGTGGACATACGGATGTTATCGTCACCGAGGATAGCGATAGAGCCGTTCATTTTCAGAGGGAAGTAGACAGTGCTTGTGTCTTCCACAACGCCAGCTCGCGGTTCGCCGATGGATACAGATTCGGTCTTGGAGCTGAGGTAACTTGCATATTTTCTCTCGATCCGATCAATTCTTCATACGTGTGAAATTCTTCTTTTGTACAACCTTAAAGGTCGGAATTTCCACCGCTCGAATCCATGCAAGAGGTCCAGTTGGAGTGGACGGACTATTAACAACGAAATGGGTGCTTCACGGCGATGGCCACGCAGCTGCAGATTTCGCAGAGGGTGGCGATAAAGTTTGGCTCCATCAATCCTTGCCACTAAACGAATCCGCATGAATCGAACAACCGGATCAATTCGAAGATATCGAAAACTTCTCCATTGCGACACGGAAGATTTTACATCGAAGGGAATCGCCAGTGACAAACCGTCGCTGTGCCACTTTAGATTCATTCGCGAAACGATCGCGTCTGTTTTTCTTCACCCTTCGATCGCTCGTCGCTAAATGCAGAAAAATCCTGAAGAATCTGACCAAGTAGAGACACGAAGATCCTCTTCTATCTAATCAGAAAATTCTTCTTTTTTTTCTTAGTTTATCGATTAACGCGAACAAAACTCGCTAATTCGAGTGTTAACTGTTAATTATACAGTAGGATATAGCGGTAAGAATATCGTGTTTGTCTAATATTTGTCTTAGAATAAGTATTATTCGTAAGTGCTACTCTCGCGAATGAAATTTTGAGAAAAAAATACACAGAACGCACCCGTGCTCTATCCTACGATGAACCAAAGAAATAGCGCGAATTTAGGAGGATCCAAATGTACCATACGATTAATTTAACCGTGGAAATATATTCGTCGAATCTGTTTCTATTCTCAACACGAATTTCATTACATCCTAATTTCCCCCTTTTCTGCACGATGAAAGATTTAAGAGATACCTACGTGAAACGAAGAAAAGGAAAAGGAAGAGAAAGAGAACGGAGGAGATCGTTCTTAGGAATTTGTTGTAAATACAAGATGTATTTCTATCAGAAAAAGAAGTATCAACTTGGTTACTCGAAAAACTTGCCCAGAGAAGTTTGTTAATAAAGTACGAGTACAGGGGAGAGAGAGGCTCTTCTCGACACAGTTACTTGGGTCGTTGCGAAAGTTAAGTCGTCCGGTTATATTCGGAACTCCAGAGCTGAACCATCAACGTCGAAAAGTACCGCTTATCCTTTTAAGTTACCTCGATCGCAAATAACCAAGCCACCAATTACGAAGTTATCTACCTCTTTGCGAACTTGGTGGATTTAAACATTTCGTTAACGATGCTCCACAAGACCCGTTTACAAGATACACGAAACGAAGATCGATACAAATGTGCATGTGGTAACGATATCGGTTCTGTTCTCGTTAGAAAAGTCGGTATTTCCTTTTACAAGTAGCGTACGATCGTTCGTAATTTATCACCGTCGAGTAATCAGGCAGAACACCAATCGGGTAGCAAAGCTCTAAGTACAGAGTCCAATCTCGACAATTGCGTGAACAATGCAGTACAGTTTCCAAGAATAGTTCAGGAACCCACAAATCTTTGTCACTCGTTATCGGTACCGAATATTTCTTATCAAAAACGACGGAATACTTATGATTGTTGCGCGATTTATCATGAGACGCATTATTAACGGAAACCTTCTGTTCTGTTATTAATTCATGCTACGGATACCTGAGACGATAATAATTAAAAATTTAGATCACCGATAAGTGTAATAGTGTAAATTGTACGATTATATGGTACATTGTGATTATACGATTATGAAGATATGAATAATAAAGAATAGAATTTTATTTTGTTCTCCTATGGTACAAAAATGAACTCTTCTTGTATGCGTCGTCAAGGTAGGCTCTCCCTTAAAGTGCGGTTCACTTTAAATAACAATTTATTTAATCGAGTCTTTTTACATATTCTCCGGGGCCCACAATTTAAACGTCCGATCGTAGGAAGTGGTCCCGATAAATTTGTGATCCGGCGAAATATCCACGGACATCACTTTACCGTCGTGTCCTGGTAATGTTTTAAGCGGTTGCCAAGTTTTGTTCGACCATATTTTCGCAGTATTGTCGTATGACGCTGTGACCAGGTATTGTCCCTCTATCCTTTGGTATTTCACATCCGATAATAAGTTGGTATGCGCAGGTATCGTGTATACGCAAGACCTCTTTCGTAAGTCCCATATCTTACAAGTATTATCCTCGCTCGCTGTCGCTATGTGGAACCCATTCGGGGAAAAGTCTATACCGAAAATAGATTTCAAATGGCCCTCCATAAACATTATACACCGTCCTGTGCGAAGATCCCATACCCTACCGAACGAGTCGTGACCACCTGTGGCGCTTACACTACCGTCACACTGAAAACTATAAGTGGACGGTGAGTGGGAAAGATCGTCTTTCGTCGAACAATAATACTTTTACGTGTCAGAGATACCTGATACAGTGCACAGCTCTAGCGTGACCTTCCTGGTGTAGAACTTCTGCTTGCTGCTCCAAGTCCCAAAGTCTCCAAGATGCATCATAACAACATGTACCAAGAAATCTACCAGAAGGGTGAAATGCTAACCTTGCAACTCTGTGTGGCTCGTGACCTTCTACTTCAGCCAAGGGTTCCTCACCTGATCCACCACTCCATAATTTTACAGATCCTGTACAGATGGAAATATTTTACTATACTGTGTATGGTAAATTTTTCATAAAATTACAAAGGACTCGTACCATCAGCAGCACAGGATGCCAGTACACAGCTCTGCCCAGCTGTATCCCCTACCACCTGTTCAGTAATAGTAGCTTTTGGATGAAAAACAATGCAGCCAACATTACAAGTATGCCCTTTAAGTGTTCTTAACAGAGTACAGTCAGGTACAGACCATAATTTGCACAAGCCTGACCATGAAGCTGTAGCAAACAGTTTGGAGTTTGGACTGAATTGGCAGAAAGAAATTGGCCTAGTGTCTCCAATTTGGGAGCAATAAATTGTCAATGCTTGTAGTTTCTTCAGAAGTTCCTGACGGCGTGCAGTACGTGTGGCAGTTGGCAATTCCAGATCGTGCCTTGCTTTATCCAATCTACCCTTTGCTCTGGGCAATGAATATGCTGTATAATAAATCAGAATCATAATACACAAGTAAATAATAAAATACCAAAATTTAAAAATAATATATGTTACACTTACAAGCTATCCAAGAGCGAGCTATTTGAAGAGATTCTGGCCCTTCGTGATACCATGTTGTTTCTGTATCTCTTTCAATAGGATGAGATGGTTTGTCCTCTTCTTCATGCTTTTTCTTAATTGCATCCTCTCCCAGATTAGCCAATAATTCTCTTAATCTTGTTCTTCTGTCTGCAGGTCCTTCACCAAATAGGCAAATAGGTTCGCCTAGTTGCCTCAAATTCTTCTTTACCTCTGAGTCATCCGTGGACACGTTAATTTGACGAGCTTTCTTTCTACGTTCAAATTCTTCTAAAAGAGCTTGTCTGTCTTTGGACATCTCATCTTCCAATTCCATATATTCATTAGATATATGCACATTTGCCAAAGTGACAACGGTATTGATACTATCTCCCAAATTAGCGGCATCTTTTTCTTCTTCGGAAGATTCCGCCACAGCGGCCAACCTCGCACGCTCTGCTTCCTCCAAAGATCCATAATGAACAGTCTTCTGTTTCTTGACATAAACCAAATCCTCGTCGTCCGACATTTTAGATGATTATTTGTTATCGAAATGAACTGTGAAAATTAACATGAAATTCTTAAAGATATAAACACCTAACCTTACACAGAAAACGAACATAACCTAACACACAAACAAAATACGTATGTAACTATGATTGTACGTAATATATCCTTACGTGATTTCAACAAAAATAATACACAAGAATAAATGCAATCACTATTGAAAATTATTTAATTAACGTCATTTATGAAAACGTCTCATTCCGAAGAAACATTTTACAGCAACTATCTGTCAAGCAGCGGACGCTACGTACTGTTGAAATATTCAAGATGGAGAACGATAATCGATACTTGTGTTTTGACTTAAATCGACTTTCGTGGAAACTCTATTCAAATTATTAAAATTTTTCTCATTACGTGTAATCAATTATAAACTAATATAAGTCTGCATATTGAATAAAAATTTTACATTGATATACTCTTATAACATATTTAAAAACCTTTATTCTATCCTAAGGTTAAAATACGAAGACTCTGATTGGCTGAAGGTGAAATACGAAAGACTACGCTAGCCTTAGTACTACACAGAAATGAGAAGATGGCTAGTGAGACGGTACAAGGCCTGTCTCCACCTTTAACGTTCACGAAGCTGACACCTTAAAGCTTTTAGCAGCCCACACTGATACAGTAGTAGGATTTTTATATCCACGATAGATATTTCAAGACAAGGGATACATTCTGAATTTACGTATACGCCAATGTTTAAATTCATCGCTTGCTCGCTATATCGTTCTATCCAATTCAATTTCGTCGTGTCCCGTTTGCTTTCTCCATCACGCGATGCTATATGACCCGAATAGTAGATGTGACCATTTTGGCCAATAATAAAAATTCATGTGCGCTGCCTTTATGATTGCATTAGAAAAGGTGGGTCTACTACCACTATAACCAATCAGACCTTCGTTCCTTATATTAGTCAATTTTTCATCTCTACATAATACAGCTGTCTCTAAAATAGTGGCTACGTCAAGGAATTGATCATTGTCGCATGGAATGTCTAGATAGTTAAACTATGGTCTTTTTTTAAGTATAACTACCTACATATTGTATCGAGAAGTATTTTTTTCAAAAGAATTGGATAAGGAAATACAATATTTGATTGTTGTATGTAAAAGGAATAAGTTTTAGAACCAAAATAGTCGACGTTTTGAAAAAATTGTTGGCCCTAAAAAGGGCCGATGATTCTAGGGTTGCCGCTCACTTTGAACTGGTGTACTTGGTGACAGCTTTAGTACCCTCTGAGACAGCGTGCTTGGCCAATTCACCAGGCAACAAGAGCCTGACAGCAGTTTGGATCTCCCGGGAAGTGATAGTCGACCTCTTGTTGTAATGGGCCAAACGGGAAGCTTCAGCAGCAATACGCTCAAAAACATCATTGACAAAACTGTTCATGATGCTCATGGCTTTGCTGGAAATTCCAGTATCAGGGTGAACCTGCTTCAACACTTTGTAGATGTAGATAGCATAGCTCTCCTTCCTCTTCCTCTTCTTCTTCTTGTCAGACTTGCTGATATTCTTCTGAGCTTTACCAGCCTTCTTCACAGCTTTTCCACTAGCCTTAGGTGGCATCGTTGCAGTTTGAATATATTCTCGATGTGTAGCGGATGAAGTCAGTAGAGAGAATGTGAAAATGCAGGGCCAGTTCTTATTATATAGAGGTAGGAGATGCCAGCAGCGCACCAATCACGTGCGAGCTCATGGTTTTGACCATATGCCGGCATTCACACCATGATGTCGCTGCATACTACGTCTTTATATCATTTTGTAAAAAATATGAGAGTATTGAGTAGTAAATTAGTTGAGGAGTAAATTAATTTTGTACTGCAGTTTTATTTTCTATAAAAACCACGCGAATAATGTCAAGAGAAACAATTGCTTTTTTGCGTTTTATAATATACGATTGGAGATAGCGGTAAAACTAAAATATCTACGTCATTAAAAAGAAAACATTAATTTTGAAGAACAGAAAGTTTTCAGTTTATTAAAATATTGTATTTGATAATTACAATAAACTGTTCGAGAAATGTGAAGACAACTTACGTTAGATATAAAGTTTTAAATAATTCGTACTTATAAAAAATTAGCGTTTTGTTCATAAAAGAATCGTGTTAGTTAAAAATTCCTTGGAGCAATTTATACTTTTTTGACTCTTCTGCTCCATTCGAGTATCCTATTTAACTAACATGTTAACGATTAATTTAATCAAACTGAATCTCTCTAATTTGTAATTAAAAATGAGTAAAAATTGTAACTAGTTATATTATTTTGATTCTTGTAAATACGAATATAATGTATCTTATGTTTAATACAGTAATAACAGTACAATTAAAGATGAATAATCCTTCAATAAATAAACTATTGTGCTTTAAGTATTGGTTAACCTAATGTCGAGTTTACTCATTTTTCCTTGTTAAAAAGCTAACGGTTAATTTCTACTAATTTTCTTGTTCTTTAGCTTTTTGTAGCCTGCTTACACGTGGTCTGTATATTTCCCGCCATTTCGGGAAAAGAAAACCCTGATTTCATATACTATGTTCGAACGCACGTGGTTAACCTGTACATCTGCTGTTCCGAAGGTTCCCTTTCGGCGGGAACTGGTCGATAGCATAGGTTAGAACGTGTACGGGTATATAGCATTTCCGCTGTAATAACTAGCAATACTGGCAGTGAAACGGCACATTGTAGCTAGAAACATAACCTTAAAACACCCTGTGCTTTATAAAATGAATCACTATCTTCTTTCTATACAGTTTCCTTTCAAAATTGAACTAACATCCTACAATATTTAACATTGTTCCCAACGTAAGAAAACCGATATACCTAAAGATGCAACTGATGTATACTAGATGTATAATTTATCTAAAAAATTTCTTTTATTTTACGAATTAATATAGGATCCATCATAAGTACTTTACACCTATCCATTGGAATGTAATCTAAATGTCTATCTAAAAGAAGTATGCTGTTATCAGCGATAAAGTTATTGAATACAACTCTCTGTTTAGACAGAAGTAATAGTTCCTTGTATGAAAGATTTGGTGGCCCTGAAAAGGGCCATTTGAATGTTTGGGGTTAGGGATTCAGGTAATTATTTTTTCGCCGCGGATTTGACTGCTTTTGGCGTCGCTGCCTTCTTAGGTTTGGGCGTCTTGGTCTTAGCTGCTGGTGATTTAGCGGATTTTTTAGTCCTCGACATGCTCTTAGTTTCGACAACTGCTTTGGGTTTCGCTACAGCCGCCTTAGCTGCGCTCTTCTTTGGAGCTGCCGGTTTCTTTTCAGCGGCAGCTTTCTTCGGCGCTGGTGCTTTCTTGGCAGGAGCAGTCTTCTTCGAAACAGTTTTCTTCTCTACCCACTGAGCTTTCTTCGCTGGTTCAGCCTTCTTCGCCGGTCGTGACAACTTTTTGGTCTTAGAATTGTCAGAGAGCTTGCCAGTGGACAATTTAAACGATCCAGATGCTCCCTTGCCCTTCGTCTGCACGACGGTGCCAGATGTTACGGCGGTTTTCAAGTAGCGTTTAATGAACGGGGCGACTTTCTCGCCGTCAACCTTGTACGTGGTAGCGATGTATTTTTTGATGGCTTGCAAAGACGATCCCTTGCGATCCTTCAATTCCTTAATAGCAGCGTTCACCATCTCGGAAGTCGGTGGGTGAGAAGCCTTGGAACGTTGAGTTTTCGACTTGCTCTTCGTAGTCTTCTTCGATGGTGTAGAGGTTGGTTTTTCCGCGGCCTCGACTGCGGTATTTCCAGCGCTCGCTTTGTCTTCCATCTTTCCGACGAAAAGGTAATCAGAAGCAACGGATAAAAAGCTTAGAAAATTTCCTCTACAGAGGTACCTTGATCAACAATGATGCGCTTGTTGAACCAGAATAGTGGTCGCGGCGGGAACCCGTGTGGTTTCTTTCTCGAGCGCGGACCATGGAGAGAGACTCACCCAATATGTCGGATGCCGCGATTCCGTGACAGCGAAGAAGCGGTAAATAAACCTTTACTTTCGGGCCTCATTTCTCCGAATAACGTGCACGTTAACGAGCATTCGATACGTGAAAATATTGCTGCGTGTGTGCAGTTTTATCTGACGGTCGATTTTCGAGCGTACGCGACCGTTCTGGCGATTTATCGCGGCGTTCAACGAAGTCCGTCTTTTCGCCGCGATAGTGCATCGCGTAGAAAAAGTTAAAAATCTAACGATTTATACAAGAATGCTTATGAAATTCGTACAGAATATTGTAGAGAAAGGACTGCTGATAATTTACATACCATCATTTATGCATTTCCAGTAACGAACACAAAGGAAACTTCGTTGATATTCTATCGCTTAGTGATGTACCACGTGAATCACGAATGTTCTATCGTTGGTTTAATATCAATTCCCATGGACGTGTAAAATATTCGGTTTATGTACTTGGAATGAATTTTTTTACATTTTTCACATCTTCGATGTGAACAGGTGTGAATTCGTAGTGTTTATCTATTTCTAAAGCGTTCTTATTTGTTATTTTTTACTTCGATGGAAATGATGATAGTCTGTACAAGGAAGTCATGGTTCAACAGGAGAAATGCAAATACCGGTTGAAATATATTTTTATAGAATGGACGATTTTACATTTCTGCTCGTCGTATTACAAAATGAGCAGATTTTAGAAAATTTAATTGCAATATACTATAAAAGCAATTAGTGCTCTATACCAGAATTAATTTTTTCTCCTAGGATACTAGCGCCATTGCGTTCTTGCATCGTGTGTTCTACAATGCTTCTACTACAAAAGCATTTATAATTATGTAATACTATTGATTAATGATTATTGGTGCATGTTATATTTATGTATTTCATAATCAGTTTGACAGATCTTGCATTTAATTCTATCGCATAGTATTAACATTCTAACATACATCTGCAAAAATTGGACAATTTTTTAACACTCAATAAACGATTTTAAAAAATAAATTATATATTTTACGCATGCATTGTGTATTCAATGAATTACTGTTTTCAACTTGTTTTCTCTCTATGTATCATTCAGAGAAAAATATTGAAATATTTAGGTTACATGTGTATATACGCCAGTATAAAGAGTTGATGAATTTATTATGATAAATAACTTAAAATAAGGACAAATGTTTGTATGTACGTTCTATTTGTCAAACATGATAAGAATGTTCATGATCAAAGTCGAAAGTTGAGGGTGCCCTGTAAATTATAGGACACGTCACCATCGATTCGCTTGTTGCATTCGCAAGGAAATTTGTATTCCTTAAATACTTGATTCTTTTTATACGTAAATATTTATTCTTTAAATATTTTAACGTTACTGTCGTATTTATAATTATTTTTGCATTACCATTGTGCATAACAATTTGGCAAATTATCAAAAAATTTAAGTATGGAGGGTACAATTGAAGGACCCAAGTTCTGACATCTAGCGTAAGAAACCATCACTTTGAGATTCGAACACATGAATAATAAATAACGTTAACTGCAAATAAAAAATGGACTACAATGGATTTCTTTCGTTCCTTATATCTCCTACTAATGATTTATTCTTAAAATATTGCAAAATTGTTTCTTGTTCCGTCGACCAATCAGAATCCAGCGTGGCTAGCTAGTGTTGCTCCATCTATACTGTGACTGTGACCAATACTGAAACGTTTCATCAATGTGTCTTTAAAATAAATATTCCTGATAAATAATGTTCATACATTAATCAATGCATTATTGTCCACGTTTTTTTTCATTTCATAAAAATAGTTCCTTTCATGAGTTATAATCGCGTGGTAATTTTGCTCGTACGAAACTTTGGTTGCAGTGAAATTAATGTTCCTAGAATTGGATTTTACGCATCTCATAATGTGTCCAATTAATTCATGTTTTTCAATGTATACCTGACTCTCGATAGTTATTAATTACTAAAAAAAAAATAGTACTTCAACCTCTAAATTCCACAATACTGTGGATTTAGGTTATAGTAGTAATACAGACACTTAGGTTATATTACTCGTGTTGTATATTATGTTTTTATATGATTAAATAACATTGCTTTATATTATCCTTGATGCTAAAATCATTACTATCCACCTTTCAGTCGAAGCATAACAGAAATATTACCAATTAAAATATTTAATAAATCTACATCATTGATCGTTACATTGAAAGTTCGTAAGGTACGGACTGCGCAAGTCAAATAGCAGCAAAACACCGCGGAAAATAATTAGAAAGACAGTTTATATGTTTTTGAATTTAGGGAATGTGCGTATTACAAGTTTGTGAAAACAAAATGGTATCTCGTAGTATAGTATAATTAGTAATACATGTACCACGCATAATTCTTAGTAAATTTAAAGAACGATTCCAACAATAGAAGTTTATTGGTATTCAGCCAATTCATATGAAGTATTGTAATTATACTAAGAATGATTTGTACAAGTATTATTATCGACAAGACTAGGGATGAAAGAGTTAGAAAATATAAGAACAAGAATGTGTCCACGTGTTTAAAGAATTGTTGGCCCTGAAAAGGGCCGATTATTAGACGATGTAGTATTTATTTGGAGCTGGTGTATTTAGTGACAGCCTTAGTACCCTCAGAGACAGCGTGCTTGGCTAATTCACCAGGCAACAGGAGCCTGACGGCAGTTTGGATCTCCCGGGAAGTGATGGTCGATCTCTTGTTGTAATGGGCCAAACGAGAGGCCTCAGCAGCAATACGCTCAAAGACATCATTAACAAAACTGTTCATGATGCTCATAGCTTTGCTGGAGATTCCAGTATCAGGATGAACCTGCTTCAACACCTTGTAGATGTAGATAGCATAACTTTCCTTCCTCCTCCTCTTCTTCTTCTTATCAGACTTGCTAATATTCTTCTGGGCTTTGCCAGCTTTCTTCACGGCCTTTCCACTTGCTTTAGGAGGCATCTTCGCAAATGTTTTGGAGGCTTGAAGTACACCGTACCGTAGTGAAAATTCAAGACTGAATGTTGCAACCGTGGGTCAGCTGTCGTATATAACGTAAAACGCAGCACCCGCAGCGAGCCAATCACGTACGAGCTGACGCGCCATTGGCCCGTTCTAGTATTACCGGTCGATACATAAGCGAAGCCGCCTGTACGCCACCGTCATATTACTCTGGAATACCTCAGAGTACACTTCGACTTGCTTTAAGTAAAATACGTATTAAAAAATGTCTGGCCGTGGCAAAGGTGGAAAAGCGAAGGGAAAGTCAAAGTCCCGTTCGAATAGGGCTGGTCTTCAATTCCCGGTTGGTCGTATCCATAGACTTCTTCGTAAAGGAAATTACGCTGAACGTGTTGGTGCAGGAGCACCCGTGTACCTTGCAGCCGTAATGGAGTATTTAGCGGCTGAAGTATTGGAATTGGCGGGAAACGCTGCCCGTGACAACAAGAAAACCAGGATCATTCCTCGTCATCTTCAACTCGCCATTCGTAATGACGAAGAGTTGAACAAATTACTCTCTGGTGTAACCATCGCTCAAGGTGGTGTACTGCCTAATATTCAAGCTGTTTTATTACCGAAGAAAACCGAGAAGAAAGCTTAAGCAACACAATATCAACACAAATGGCCCTTTTCAGGGCCACAAAATTTTTAAAAACGAAGGAACTTCTCATATCTATTCATAATATAACATTCGTTATCTTAAACATAATACCTTACTTTAAAAACAACTCGATTACATTATTTGCTCGTCTTATCTTTTAACTTTCGAGTAATGGCGACGAAATATGTTAGTCATTTCGGGAACATTTATGTACTATCATTTTACAGTGACTAAGTGTTCTATCTAGCAAGATCTAGGTTTCATAATAAACAGTATATGCTGTTAATAGACATTTATTATCGAATCATAGCCAGACACATAAGTGCCTACAAAAATTATCTGCTCCATTTTACCTCACTCTAGTCGAAGTAGCAGTATTCAGTATTTTCATTTCGTTTTCATTTTTATTTCTTTTCATGCATTTAACAACAGGTCCACCTGAATTTTTGTTATTGCATAGCGAAAGGGATGGATAAGTAGGGATATTATATAGAATTCAGTGGGGGGTCTGGTTCAGAGCACAAAATACATACATGAGGCAGATGTTCAAAGCAGATGTGCTGTTCCACGTGGGGGAACGCGACCATAGCGTTGCCAATTCTAAACTCTAAGTATATTTCGGCATCTTGGAGTTTATTACATTAATATTTTCCCGAGAATTTTTATTTTTTTAGTTATATTAGAAAAAGAAACACTCCCCATTTTTATTTAATTTTTATTTTTTTTCCCTTCGCCTGTAGTCTCGCAGTGCGTGTTAAAATTTGACGTAATTGATATTCCTAATGCAAATCATTGCTCGTTAATAAATTCTCTTGATATTAATACGCAGATCATACGCATATCTTGTAATATGTAAAAATTCGAAGTTGTAAAAAATATTAAAAACATCAAGTTGATATATGGTAGCTACCACCAAAATTCTATTTTCACAAATTCAATGTTTCGGCCTTTCAAAAGGCCAAAAAAACCATGCAATATAAACGAACAACTTGAACAAATAAAAAATTATAGTTTGCAAATTGATGGTCTTAAATCGAGCCGATGTTTGAATGTACATATAACCGATGCGTGACCACACGCTTGACATCTGAAGCACTGCTAATACCACTTCTTGGAGTAGTCTCTTTCGCCGAGTTGTTCCGTGAGAAAAAGTCAGCTTGTACGTGGTAGAGTGAGAAGGGTGAGTGTTGTCGTTTTGTAGAACAATGCATAGAGTTACATCCATGAGATGGCGAATATTCGGAAAACGTGCAATATCCATAGGACGAGTAAAGAATGACTTTAAATCCAACTAGAAACTATTGTCAATAGGAATGTTATATTGAACATGGGTGTTCCTATGGATATCGTTGGGAATCGAATCACGTGAACCAGAGAGCTTAAGATCCCGCAAAGAGAGGACGAAGACGGAAATAGCACCTGAGTCTGAGCAGCGTCGTAAGTTGACAAGCAGAGAATTTGTACTTTTCTTTTTCTTGTCGTTATCGTCAGTATATAGTACATATGCTGTATCTGAGAGGAGTAGCCTTCTTATCAGATTGCAAATTAGTCAATAATACTATCGTCCTAAAGTTTCCGTAACTTAATGTTATCTACGAATGGAATTACAGATAAATAATTTCAAAAAACCCTGTTCTTTGAGGTTATGGATAAATGGACAGGTTCAGACCTGTGCTCCGTAGGTATAAGCGCACCGTTTCGGTATATCGTAACCCCACTTTACGGTTAGACTTTCCCCTTGGAAGGTTCCAGTTGGTTAAACGTCGAGTGGTGAGGAGATGCGCCTGCGTTAGTTTATAAAAGAGCGGCATTGACCGCCCGGCAACAGACAGTTATAGTTGCAGGTTTTTGAAAATTTTTCTGTATTGTCTCACGGACATCGAATGCGATAAGGAGATGCCGTGACCGTGTCACATTAGTCGCTTGCCTGGTTCAAGGGTGGTCCCCCCTTGTGGTGGGGATAGACCATGAACAGTTAACGTGTAAATTCCAACGAGCTCTTATAGAATCTTTACTGTAATTAAAAATAAAAAGTAACACCGTCTTACCGAAATTCAAAGGGAATCTCCTGATTGCTACTCATGCGCTCAGGTTGCTCGAGCGTCACGTGGGACGTAGATTATTGGCGGAAAGTGCCGAACAGGCTACGCACACGACAGAGCTACCACTATACTTGTGTGAAAGCACGAGGACGGTATAGTGGGAGACGGCAGTACGTCATAGTGGGGGTAACGGCTTTGGCCCACGTCCCACGATTCTGGCATCACTGATTTCAAATCAGTCTTTCTCAGCCTCTGCTCGTGGCAGGTTGTGTTACGTCAGAGGTCTGATTACGGACTAAGCCGCTGCTACGTTCTTCTTCTGCTGCTGCTGGATAGGCGAATTACAGATTACTCCAAGTGGCTCCCCAGGAATTCTCAGGCGGAAATTGTAATAAAAAGAAAAAAAAAAGATAGCAATACGACAGGCCGTGGAAAAGGAGGAGCCAAGCGTCATAGGAAGGTTCTGCGTGATAATATTCAAGGTATCACGAAACCAGCTATCCGTCATTTGGCTCGCCGAGGTGGTGTCAAACGTATTTCTGGTTTAATCTACGAAGAGAGACCCGTGGGTGTTCTAAAGGTTTTCCTTGAGAACGTTATTCGTGGCCAGAGTTGGGCAGTAATTAATTCTTTTGTAATCGATTTCTGTCATTAATCGTAATTTTCAATCATTAATCGGATTACGTTTTGCCCAACTCTGTTCGTGACGCTGTCACCTATACCGAACACGCTAAGAGGAAGACTGTTATCGCTATGGATGTTGTCTACGCTCTGAAACGTCAAGGCAGAACCCTCTACGGTTTTGGCGGTTAAGCATAGCAGCTGCAAAACTTCATATACAATACAAAAATATGGTCCTTTTCAGGACCACCAAATCTTTCAAATGTACATATGAACTCTTCGCTTTAGAACATTTTCCCTATATTTCTTTTATAAAATATACATGCTAGTATCTAAAATAAATTCCTACTTAGTTGTAGCTTATTTGTTACAAAGTAATTGACAAAAAAGATTCACCAACGAGAAATTTATGTGTTACTTCGTCATAAATGAATGATTTTTAAATATGCTCTTTTACGTATTTAACATCTCGTGCTTGATAAGGTACTGCGTAGAAAAAGTAATTCTAATTTAAGGATAGTGTGGAAGTATTTAAATTCAAACATCAAAACCAAAAATGGTTTTTTGGTCGAGTCTAAAAAGAAAGTATCGTGTAGTAATAAATCAAATACTCTAAACAAAACTTAGAAACTTTGCACACGAAGAAGCCAAGAAAATGTACGCAGTTTACAAAACTTTACTCCTGATAAAGGTTAAATACAAAATTCTGTTGCCCATCATCCTTTACGATCGTAAAAATTGAAATTAAAAAAGGAAATTCAAGGTTGTTGTTTCACGATACGGAGCTATGATATCGAACAGGGAAGAAAAATTAACTAACTCTTATACACACTAGCAGCTGTATCAATATTTTTCAATTTATATACCATTGACTTGTTTGCAACTTTCATGTTTTTATTTTATAGATTGGTAAGACCATAATTGTAATATAGGTACGGTAGACAATAACTTTCTCTTTACTTTCAGAGTGCGGAAATTGACAGAATTGTAAATTTCCAAGTTTCATGCTACACATTGCTGCTAGCCAAATTATAAATACGAAAACTGAGTTAGAAATGAATAAAGAAATACAAAGTAACTGTCGACCTGGGCATTGAAACGGAAACTAACCGACGACGAGAGGTTAGGAAATTCGAGATAAATGAAATCAAAATGGGTGCCGTCTGTTTCTCTCGTAGCTTTCGATGTGACGTAGAAGAGGTCAATATAAGTGTACTGAAAAGATGCCTGGTGGTATAATAGTAATGTTGTAACGCCAATAAAATGAGTGTCAATTTATAGAAAATTTGTACCTTTTTTAACCAACTTTATAATTTTTATTCAACAGTTTTTGTTGCGTTCAAAAATTCTACTTTATACGATACGAACTGCAAAATTGTAGTATTACATTGTAAAGAGAATTCACGAAATTGTTCTAGGTTTAAGAAAATTGGGGCCCTGAAAAGGGCCGATTGGTAAGGTAACAGCGCCGTTGAAAGCTTAAGCTCTCTCTCCACGAATGCGACGAGCAAGTTGGATATCTTTGGGCATAATGGTGACACGCTTGGCGTGAATAGCGCACAAGTTAGTGTCCTCAAACAGACCAACAAGATATGCTTCGCTGGCTTCCTGCAAAGCCATAACAGCAGAACTTTGGAATCGAAGATCCGTCTTGAAATCTTGTGCAATTTCACGAACAAGACGTTGGAATGGTAATTTACGGATCAACAGTTCCGTACTCTTCTGATATCTACGAATTTCTCGAAGAGCGACTGTTCCAGGCCTATAACGATGAGGCTTCTTCACTCCACCAGTAGCAGGGGCACTCTTACGAGCAGCTTTGGTGGCTAACTGCTTACGTGGCGCCTTCCCACCAGTAGATTTACGAGCCGTTTGCTTAGTACGTGCCATTTTTCGTAATCGAGATAATACGATGTTTTCAACTCCAACAGTGAAATGAATCTAATTCACCCCGGGCATATCGTCTTCTTTATATCCACGTTTCTTTGATGCGTTTAGATCTCTGATTGGTCAGCGAGCAACTGGTGGGGGAAGGAAACTCGACGCTCTGTGATTCGCTACGGGTGTTGGGGAGGGAGAGCTGTTTCTTTCGGAGGTATATAAGGAATGCATTTTGCTGCCGAACGACAATATTTCTTGGTATCGAAACTGAAAGTATCGTATTTGAGAAAAAATGACTGGTCGCGGAAAGGGTGGAAAAGGATTGGGAAAGGGAGGAGCGAAGCGTCATAGGAAGGTTCTGCGTGATAACATCCAGGGTATTACAAAACCAGCCATTCGCCGTCTTGCTCGTCGTGGTGGTGTCAAGCGTATTTCTGGATTGATTTACGAAGAGACTCGTGGTGTTCTGAAGGTTTTCCTTGAGAACGTTATTCGTGATGCTGTCACCTACACGGAGCACGCTAAGAGGAAAACCGTTACTGCTATGGACGTCGTCTATGCTCTGAAGCGTCAAGGCAGAACTCTGTACGGATTTGGAGGTTAAGTTGTGCAGACGGTTGGGAGAAAATACACAAACGGCCCTTTTCAGGGCCACCAAGTATTTTTAACAAAGGATCTCATTGTTTCAACTATACATTGTACTTTCTAAAACCCCATATTTCATAATAAAAATAACAAATAAATAGTGAAAGCTTAAAATTGCATAAGTTGAAAAGTCAGAAATGCTGTTTTAACGACGTTTAATGTTAAAAGATATGAAATTTTCACGAACATATAACCATTGACATTGATAGATAAGTGATTCTACCGGAAATTGTGCGGTATAATTATTGTACTTCGTAATTTCATTTTCAAACATTTCGTAGTAACAATCTTTGATCAATCTTTTAATATGGTCGATTTAAATTGCATTCTGTACGTAGTAGAAAAGACTTTTCTAAAGACAAAGTTACATTTTGAAGAACGACAATGCTATCGAGATTGGTCTCATCTTAAGATGCACGATATTTCCACTTTGCCGATAAAAAATTTATTAAATACTAAATTGATCTTCGTAACCTGGGCTACCTTATTGTCGGCAACAATATGAATAAACATTTTATTTAAAAGAAAATCATATCGACCATGCATTTTGCGTTTTCTTAATCGTTGTATTTCTCTTCATATAATAGGACTTTTCGAATTCGTAATAATTTCGACATACTGTTCGCGATTCACGGCTAGACATTATTAACACCGATACTATAACGTTTATTTTAACGAGAAAGCACGTTAAACCCATTATTTTCATGTTTTTTATGCAATTTTCTACATTAGTAAGGTTAGCCTATTTCTATATAAGTAGGGCCATGTGTCTGATAATCATGGCGAATATAGTAACTGAAAAACGGCGTAAAGGGACGATTCAATCAATATCAGACATTTCTAACAATAACTGAAAATATATACGAACAATAACCTGCTTGAATCGGGTAAATAATCGTTTAAATCGTGAAGTTTTTCTCACGATGCTCCGATTTTCAGCAACGTGGTATTGGAAAGACAAAAGGGGCCTCTCTCCATGGTCCGTGCTTCGCCTACGAATGTTGGTCGATTTCCCGTGGCAAAAAAAATTTTTTTTTTTACTCTCAACTGAACATTAATTGGGATTGGGCAACCCACGTTACTCTCTGTCCTCTCTGCAATCCTTCATACATTTATTATGTTAATAATCTAATGCCTATTGTACCGCATATGCATATACATCTTTTTCTGTAAATTTCATCTGCCACAAATTCATATAACAGTCTACATTACCAACGAATTGGTAATA